TACTGACTCTCTGTCCCTATCTCAGTGTCCTGCATTTTGTTACAGCCCCAGCCCTCTTGCGTCCACTGCCCTGGCCATCTGGGCTACCCCTGCCACCAGGACCCACCAGACTCTTCCACCTTCCACTCTGGAAGTATTTTAGACTCTGTTCCTGTCTCCTGTGGCTTTTCCTTAGTTCTGCCTATCCCTGTGTGACCCTGCCTGGGGGGGTTACTCACCCCTTGCAGGGCTGGGGAACAGCTGGAGAGGGGAATTCCAGAATCTGTCTTGGATGAAAGGAAGCAGAACATTGTTTTTTGCTGTGCTGGTCCTGGGTCTCCTGCACACTTGAGCCTTGTGCACTGAAAAGATTGGTCCTGCCTGATTACCCTCTAGTAAACACTCTTCCCACCTCAGGTGGTCAGGCTGAAATTACAAACTCCTTCTCAGTATGGCTGTGTTAATTATACAACTCTCTTATCACTCCTTATTAATTAAATTTTCCATTAATACTCTGCCTGGTATTGATATCAAGTAAACTATATTTACCTGCATGGTTTCATTTATCTCTGAATTTTTACACAGTATTGACATTGAACTATGAGAATGTCCCCATTATCAAATATATTAATATTAGTATTTAATATTAAGCATTTACATACACAAGCTAAAAATATCCTGCACTGACTAGTGTGGGTCATTTTTGTGGACCTTCCAACTTAAAAAATGGGTTAACCCTAGTGAAAATTGTTCAATATCTTTCTCAATTAGTAATGTGTCAGAGAATGCATTATTCCAAATAGCAGAAATAATTGTTGAACAGTTTGGGGATTTTCTTCATTGTTATTAATGTCTGGGCTGTCTTCAGCTAGTAATGAGTTTATTGCATTGATAGTTTTTCTGCTAATATTTATATGTTTTCAAGAAAATCCTTCTTCTTAAACAAAGTCTGACCAGCCATGAAGTTTTTTCTGATGTCTTTAGTATCCTTTATCAATTTTCTACACCTCATAAACTCTTATTTATATGGATTTTTATTACCTCCTCCTTTTTTCCATATGTTGCATATTGCTTTTTAATTCATTATTCCTGCCTTCATTCTTCCGCTGAAAGAGAATGTGCTTTTCACCAATATTATTTTGCTCCTTTACTGTGAAGTAATGGCTTTTTGGCCATTTAATATGTGCTTCTGCCTAACAATTTTTTACACTCAGTTTTACTTGTAACTTTTCCAGTTTGGGAAACTAGTGTCTTTAACTATTGAGTGTATGTGGCACTTTGAGTTGCACAGCTCATCAGGGCAGTGATGGCAGCTGTCCCAAGGCAGCCTGTTCTTCCTGTTTCAGCAGAAAATCTTCCTTGCTAAAGGAGGACACCAATCTGCACCAGGACTGGGGCTGCAAGGAGTCTCCTCTCTGAAGGACACCGTTTTGGTTTCACAGGTGTGTGCAGTTTATGAAGCCACTCCCTGACACAGAGGCAGAGCAGACTTGCTGTCCCTGATGTGCTGTGACTGCCATCCCCAAACCAGCAGTGGTGGGGAATGTGCCACCTTCCCCTTACAGCCTGTGCCCTGCCCTGGCAGGTTTTACCCTGCACTTTTAACACTGCCACATACAGAAACTCCCAGGTGGCTTTTGCAGGCCACTTATACTGGATTTCTTCCCATTAGGGATTACTTTCCTTTCTCCTGCTTGTTTCTGAAACTCCTCTTAGTTGTCTATAAATGCATGGAAAACAAGGACTCTGATGGCACAGAAGATAGAAGGGGTCTCTGGTCAAATAGAAACCCCTCACCCACAGAGACTCATGGGAACAGGAAGCTTGGATGGAGAAAGAGGCTGGCTCAGAGGTCAGGACAGGGTTGAACTGAACTCTCCTTTTTCGTCCTCCATCTCGACTGCAAGGCTTATCCTTCCTCCTGAATTGGTTTTGAGCTGTATTGCTCCCAGATGTGCAGAAGTGTTTTTAGTGAGCCCAAATAGCCTCTCAGTTATCTAGCTGAGAGGGAAATGTCATCTATTGCTGCAGGAAAATCCTAACTTTCTCTTTGTATGTGCATGCTAGTCCATAGCAGAAATAGTTCCATCTACAAAAACATTATTTTGGGAATCAAAATCAGCACTTTTTCTTGTTTGAATGTGCTATTTTTCACTTTGCTTGGCACTTCAAGTGCAAGGTCATGTGGTAAATCATTACATGAGCAATGTTTATCTCTGTTTGAAGAACTCTGTCAAGAATTGATTTGGAAAAGGTTTGGGTAGTGCCTTTTTTTTACTTGTCAACACTTCCATTATTCAAAGCCTATTTATGCAAAATCATTTGTTGAACAGGTATTTTCATTTTAATTGTAGAAAGAAGCCTTGGGGCGGTGGAGGGAAGGAAAAATGCCAATATTTTTGAAGCAGGAATAGTAGTTACTAAAATTTTAATGTTTAATTGTGCCACATCCACACCCATGGGTTTTATTGGAAATTCAGGGAAATACTGTTTAGGGATCCCCTGGGGATCACCTGGGCAAGCCTCAGTGTTGAAGCTGGGACAGCATCAAGCCAGGTCAGTCCAGCCTGTGCATTCACACACACACACACCACAAACACAAACACACAACTCTGTCTCTGTGTGCATGCACATACACATCAAATGACAGCTTTTATTGGCCTTCACTATTTTTAGTAGTCTTTAAAGCCTTAGACAGGTTGCCATATCTTAGAAATACAGCTTTTAACACCAGCTGGTTTGAGTCTGCTAAGTGTTTTATCTAGCAGATTAGATTACACACCCCAGGGAAGAGAGTGACTTAACCACATTGTACAGCAGGTAAAGTGCTTTGGGGTCTGTGTTGTGTCATTAAGACCAATATGAGGAAGCAGCAAGACTTATCTTAATCTTGCTGATTGCCTCAATTAACACAATCCCTATAGTGTCCTCCTTGATATCTAATCCCTGCAGTTTCTTGTTCTGTATTTTGCTCTAACAATGTTATCAGATCTTTGCTAAGGGTATAAAAGTACATATTAAGTAAGTGAAGATGTGGTAGTTATTTAGAGAAGCCACGTGCTTAATTAACATGGAAATCAAGCAATAGACTATTAAGTATTTCGCGTAAGGCAAGAAATGTACTAGGTATGGGCCCTGAAAATAAAAATTAAAAAAAAATAAATAAAGGAAAAAAATGTACAGGAAAGAAGGGTAATTATAAGCAGAATTCAAAAGCTATGCCATTCATAACAACCTGTCTACTCCTGGAAATCACTTTCATCATTTGGAAATGACTCACACAGCAAAGCAAGCAGCAAAAAAAAGGGGGGTTGTCTTCCCACATCTCACACATCCAAGATGTAGTGAAATTATCTCTTATGCCCATGGGACTTTTCCTTGTTCCTGAGGGTAGCCTCTACTCCCAGAGCAGCCCCGAGTGCATTTCTCAGTCATGCAAAGACAAATAAACATGAAGAATCAGATCTAGGGAACTTGATGGAATGATAATCTATATCTTTCTAGCCAATTCTGCAAGTGATGCCTAGCATAAAAATTGCTGTGTTAAGGAAAAAAAAAACAACAACCACCCTAGCTGAGAATAAAAGTCAGTTTGGGAGGCTGACAACCTTGAACTGGCAATGACTGCTGCTACCAGAAGCAATCCCATGGCTGAAATTGCTTTCTGCTCTCTGATATGCCAGCTGATGCTCTGGATGGCTTTCAACCGGTGTCCCAGGGCCAGGACGCTGCGGTGAGTGAGCACCAAAATCACAGCGAGAGCACCTGCGGGCCCTTCCCTGGGGCAGCAGTAGGCAGGCAGCACTCCTCCTCTCTGCAGGACCCTGCACTGAAACCTCATCTTGAGGATTACATCACTACAAACTCTCTTCCTCTAAAGGCTCAAAATGAGAGCATCCAGTTAAGAGATTTTCCTTCTTTTTCCTTTTATCCTCATGCCATCTAACCCACAGTGTGCAATATATAGGATCATGTTTGGGAGAAAAATGGTGGAGAGTGAAATGTTCATTTCAAACCCTGCATATTTAATCATGTCAATCCCTAAATATTTTATCTGGATCAATCTTTTATATCAGTTCATCACTCACTGGCTCACTGGGCAGCTGCCATGAAAGAGTGCAGCAGAGGCTCTGATGGTGAACAACTGCTGCGAAGTTTTTTCCTGCCTTCTTTTCTCTGCCAAAATTTTAAGCAATGTACACCTGTTTCTGAGCCAGGAAACCCACTCTGTCTTTTGTATTGCCTTTCCTAACCGAACACTTGACTGTATGTTACAGTGAGATGCCAGGGCAGCAACAAAAAGAAATATTCCTGGAAGAGCAACAGATCTCTACTAGTGTAAGAATACCCCATCCTTGCTGCTCACAATGCAAACAACACCCTATTTGCATTTCTGTAGTTTAAATGTAAATGGTCTAAGATAAGTCATTGTCAGACTCCTGTAAATATTGATGACTGCTCCAGGATCTGGTTTGCAACCATTTCTTTCTCTTCTGTCACAATCTGAGGGCGACATATTAGAAGAGATGTGGATGGAGCTTCTTGGAGGGAAAAGAATAGCTTTGCTTAGTGGGTGACAGCAAAAGAAAAGAAGGAAGTTAGGGAGGAAAATTTCCAGATGAATAATGAATTGTGCCAGGTTGGAGACTGGAGAATCTTAATTAGAAATCTGACATACCATTGGCCTCCCTCCTCTGTGCTCACTGCACTCGAAGGGATGCTTGGTACCAGCTGCACATCCCTGTGTTCCCTGCCCCTTGGTGACTGTAATGCCAGTGAGGGAGCCTGTTGTGACACCAGGTGAGATGCAGCCACCCAGGCTGGGGACAACACTACTGCTTCTCTCATGCAGATGAAAGGACAGAGATTGTGCCAGCAAAAATGATGGGAAAAGGTGACCCAGTGGCCACCCCACCTCCCTCCTGAGATTATCAGCAGGTCTGGTGAATTGTATTCAGCTTGTCTATTGTGAATAGATCCTGACACTTCTTCTTTCTGCTTTTTTTTTTTCCTAATGACAGTTTCAATACTCCTATCTGAGATGTCTTGGTGAAGTGCCTGAAGTTGCAAAGGAGGGAGAGAGAACATCAATCTGCATCTGCTCTCTCCTGCAGAGAGTTGTCATCAGTCATCTCGTCTGGACTAGCAGGTGAGGGACAGTATGACCCAAAGGACAGCCCCAGAACAAGGAGGCAGGTGAGGTTCTCCCACACTGTGCTATGGGAAGGTCACATAGGCCTCAGTTTCTCTAACTCTAAAATGAGAAAAAACATTTATTGGTCCAATTTATTTCATGTCTTACAGGGAAAGTACTCAGTGAGTGCTATGGCTTATTATTCTAATGTGACTGTAAAAATCATGATGTCTTTATTGCAAAATGATCTTTAAAACATGAAGCATTAGGATGGTGACTGAAATCATTAGTATCAAATTGTTCTGCTTTTGCCCTGTCACATTGATACTTCAAAGTAAAATTGTCCTGTGGGCGTTTGTAGGATTTTATGAGGATAACTTGTCTTTTCAAACCTTATTCAGGAGGGCAAAAAAGCCTCCAGATGTTTTCTTAATGAAAAAGAGCTAAGGTTTCTGCCTGCCTAATTCTGAAGCTGTACTTTAATTTCTAAATTCCAAACCTACTGACAATCAATGTGATGAACAATCAACAGGATGAAAATGAGTCTCCAATTGTTCAGAAGTGGTGCAGGCAAATGTCCCCATACCTTGGAACCATCAAGGGTGTTGAGCTCACTGAGATATTGAAGGAGGGAATGCTGTGATGCCCCATCCCTCCCCTTGCCTACAGAAAGGGAGTGAAGGAGTCTCTGCTGTCTGGTGTGAGTGTCTGCTGGCAAAGACCACATTTCTCTGCTGCTTTGGGGTGTCTGACATCTAGTACAGGAAAGCCACACTCATGCCACAGCTCTCTTGGGTACAACCACTGTGCAGCTCCTGGGCTTGTAAAGTTCTCCAGAACTCTCTGGAGAACTTGGTTCTCCAGAACTGCCCCATCTTCTCTGTCCCACAGGCTTTATCACCAGGTTAACAAGGGCTTGACTCCTTGTCCTGACCCTCCATCCTCTTTCAGGCTTAGCTGCATTGCAAAATCACATTTCCTCTTCTGACAGAAAGTCCAAAGGTGTTTCAGCCGTCTCAGTAAGTGCATTCTGTTTTGTGGGGACACACCAGGAGCAGCCTTCCTCCATCAACAGCTTCACTGGAGCAACTTTTTCACTCTCCTTCCACTTGTCACTCCCAGATTTTCATTTCCTTGTATACACATTTTGTGGATCATGAACATGCTTGTGGATGGCTATGATTGCCTGTTTTGACCCAATCCACAAGTACCAGGAGGAAAGCTTTCTTCACTTTTTTTTTTATTTTTTTCCCAGCCTAGCTATTTAGCAAAAACTGCTACTGGCAAATGTGTTTATTTGCTTTTTTCCTCCCTCTTTTTTTCCCTACCAGTTCTCCCAAATGACCTTGGGATTTGCTAGGCAGTTTCCAAACAATTTTGATCAAATGAAAGAGGCTTCAAATGCTACAAATACAACAATGAATTAAATATGTCTGGAGTTGTTCCCTGGCACAGAACAATTCTTTCTTGCCCATGTCATTCAACAACTTTTTCTTAACACTGTGTATTTGGAATAGTCCTGGGCTTGACTCTTACCTCATGTCCAGGAATTGCTGGATGAGTGCTGGTCACCACAGGCCAAAATGGGGTAAGGGGTCACCACCATCTTGTGCTTGTATACATGACAGTGTGTCCATAGCCACATCTTAGTTTTGTCACATGGACGAATCCAATGGATATGCCTGAAAATTGAGCAGAGATGAAAGCCAGACAGCAGAGAGCCAGCAACCTACACCAAGTCATCTCTTGACATCGGAGAGCCTGGACACAGGACACAGCCTCACAGCAGACTTGATTTCATCAGCTCAGGAATGAGTTGGTAGTGACTGTGAACAGAGATGCTCCAGGTCTGTGTGGATGGCCTGACCCAGGGCCATTTGCTTGTACAGCACTGCCGGTGACTGCTTCAAAAAATGTGTGGGAAGGTGCTGTTCCCAGGTCCTCATATCAAAAGTTTAACAATGTCACTGGTTGTGTGCTGGGCAAAGGAGCCACCTCACCATCCCCTCTATCACACGGTCTCAGACCCTGCCCTAGATGGTGTGATAGAGGTCACAGAATGTGCTTTTCAGAAGTAATGATGCAGCTGGTCCCAATTTAAATGGAAAGAGCCTCTGGCTGTAACCCCACCACCACCCAGAGTGGGAAGTGCCTGTGGTCTCCAAAAAGTGCAGCCCAAAGGAACTGCACAAATCTGGCAGACGGATCCAGTTTTGAAGTCTGAATATAGAGGACATCCCACAGGCAAAGCTGGGGACCACAGCAAATCACCAGGTAGGGCAGGAAGAGACAAGTACTTCTGCCTCTAACTCTGCCTCAGGATTACACAAGTTTGTGTCTGGCTCTACAATCAGATTTTCAAAGTCCACATGAGCAATGTCAGGTTTTGAGAAATTGCTTTCTGCAGGGTTTCAGAGAACCACCCCCTCCCCCCTCCACCCCCCTCCCTTTTGCATAGGTCTATGATACACAGCAACATCTCTAAATTTAATGTCACAAGTGAAGTCCAGTGAAGGAAAGACCCATACTATGGCTATGAAGCAGCTATTATGACTACTGCCTAGTTTTATGGCAAACAAGTCCATTAGCATTTAAATTGATTCTTAAATATTTTTGTAGAAATTCACAGTGATATAAGCCTTAAATCCAGGACTGGTAATATTGTGATTTTTATGTCTAATTTTAGATTTAGTTTTCAGTCCAATAGATTGCAATTATAAAGCCATGAAATTTCAGAGAGCTGCTTTAAAATGCACAGATTTGTGTTTTGTCTTTAATAAGTAAAAGAAAATAAGAAAAAAAAGGAAGTAAGCACTATCCCATGTCCCGTGGAAAACTGTTGCCAAATCCTGAAATTCTCAGACATAAACACCTAATACAGTGTAGTTACACAGGTTACAAATTAAAAGACTGGAAGGAGTTTTTTCATCTGTGTAAAGGATACAAAATACAAACCCTTAGCACCTGGACAATCCTGTAAACTGAATGGCACAGATGTGTGTCAGTGAGTACCTGTATTTATAGAATCATAGAATCATTATGGTTGGAAATGACCTCCAAGATCGTTGAGTCCAACATTTGGCCAAACACCACCGTATCAACTAAAACACATTGTTCCAAACTTGGTATGAAATACAGGTGAAAAGGCTTGAATGGCCTCCTTCCAGACTCTGAACACATCCAGCAGGGCTCAGCCATCATGATGTTCTCCTTTTGACAGCATCTGCTCCACCAGTGGCCCTGTCTGGGGGGAAGCCGAAGATTACAGGAGGTAAATCACACTCAAAATATGCTGCTATTGATGCTGTGCAGACATAAGCAATAGTCTTTGCCTGTTTCAGCTGCGTACTTCAAGCCATTAGTTTATCTTATAAATTTGTCCCCCCACTCTGGAACCGTTAAAAAAAATGTTTCATATGGGTACAAAAAGGCAAAACTCAGCGTAAGCCAAACCTGTGTGGCTCTTCAGTGACCTCTGTGATTGGGAGCATGTTTTCGCTACATTTATTTGATCCTGGTAGTTAATGTCACTCCGTGTAAATCCTTAAGAGCTTTGTGATTTTGAGAGGTGGAATTTTCTCCAGATGTGGTTTCCATGGCTGAGAACTCTGCTGCCACTTAGGTCAGTCACGACTGAAATGTGAGAATCTTCAGAGACTAACAAGGTAACAAAAGGACACTTAGCAATATTGCTCCTCGGCTTGAATCTGTATTTAATTAGCTGGAGGAAGATATAAAGGCTGCTTTTTCAGGTGTTAGTTGCTACACGACCCTGGGGAAAAAGAAAGAAACTATTGAAGGGAAGGAAGCTCTTGTGCTATTACAGCCACAGAAGGCTGACTTCACTCAGCCCTGCCCTGTTGACAAGTGCTGATAATGTTGTACATGAAACACCCTTTCTCAGGCTTCTTTGGGAGCTCTAACTTGGAAACCATTTTAGATGATGACGTACCACAACACTGACAATCCCACATCTTCAGCATTGCATTAAAAACAAAACAAAACAAGTTTGAAAAATATCCTGGTTGAGTATTACTGAAGACATCTGGTTTTGGTGTGAAAAATGCTAAGTCAAACTCTCCATGTGTTACTTACCCATGTAACAAGCATCGCTGCAGGGAATGTAAGGGTAGAGAGAAATTACTGTAACCAACTTTTATTTTACTGAGCTAAATCTTCAATACAAGGCGGGTGTTCCTCTTTACCAATACAAGTTTGACTATGAACTGAGTGTCAACAGTTCAGCAGAGTGCATTTCACTAAATCCTAAATTCACCTCCTTGCCAAGGACATGGATCTGTTGATTAAAACATCAGGCTACTTACACTATGTTTGATACTGTATCAAAGGGGACACTGCACAGCAGAGACAGGTATATTTCCTCTCCCACACTTCTTTTACAAAACACACTGTACTTGTAAAAATCACAGTTAGAAACCTCAGAAAGTTATGTGAAGAAACAAGGTTAAATCAAAACCTTACAATCAAATCATGTTGATATGATTTAAGCTGAACGTTACACCCAGGTGTTCCAGGAAATTCGATGCAATCCATGACTCTGAACCTTTGAAAAGGATCTGATCCAAATGGGACTGTGAACCTTGCATCTTTGACTACCTATACAGTTTATTATAAAATATAATCCTTCTGTCTCCACAGAGCACAAAGTGACTTCAGTTTTAATGCTCACACTTCAGCTTTAACTCCCAAACCTGTCTGTTTTGTGCATGTTGTGGAATGTCATATTTATTAAACCATTTTTCATAGGTGTGCCAGGGCAATAATGTAAAAACAAAACCAAGTTTAGGTTTATGCAAAACTGACACCACAATTCTGGTTCTATGCTCAGGGCTTCATGCAGACTGGTGCAGGGACCAAGAGGAGCGTTCCCTCCATGGTTTTAACCAGGGTCAGATTAGGCCCTTCACTTTGAGTATTCCCTTGTCAAATAGTTCCTAAAATCAGACAGCTGATTCTGACACTGAGGTCGTTCAGTGCTAAGTTTTCCCTCATCCAGAGATGTTTGACACTGGTTTAACAATGCTTCCTTCTCTCACAGGCCCATGAGAGGGCTGGGAAACAATTAAATGTGTCAGAAGGAAAACCTGTGGAGGTGCTTGCATGCCCCAAACTAAGATGAAGTAGTCCCCTTTCTAAATGTAGCCAGAATGATTTGACCATAAAAGAGCTGCTACTATCTACCTAAATGATCTTACTAATATCTCTTTCTTTCAGTGACTGCATCCTTTTATATCTAGTATAGCTGGTGAACCAAACACATAAACCTTTTCTCCTGATAGCCCATTAGGTATGCTTTTGAGGTACAACCTCAGTAATTACTTCCTTCCAATGTAATTGTATTTTAATTACACATTTAAGGCCAAATTCTTTCCTCATCTATCCCAACTAAAACTCTCTGAAACCTTATTAATTTTAATTAAGTAGGAGTTGATGCAAAATTTCTAAGTGCTCAATTTTGCATTAAAAGTTTCAAATTCATTTAAACATGGATTTAATTTCCACAAGCACTTCAATTGGTAATGTGCTCCTGAGTTTAGTCTTTCAGAGCAATAATATGAAATATATGAAACATAAAGTCCTTTCCAACAGGTGATATTAGGACATAGCTCACCTTTAAACATTTCCTCATTTATTGCAGCTACCTGAGGAATGTTTGCTACAGATTCTAACAGGACTTCTCTCTTATTAACTAATCCAAAGGGATCATCTGCAGCTGGAGATAAGCTGTCTCTTTCTGAGAGGTGGGACAGAGTTTGTCATCAGCCAGTGCAGTGGACACAGAAAGACAGCCTGGGAACGAAGCAGGCAAACAGCCAGAAGGCATTTAGGTCACCGAGAGCTCAAAAAGCTGGTTTGAAGTGTTCATGTGAGCAGGGAATTGATACATGGACTTGGCCATGACAGAGAGTGAGAAAACATGGAAGTAAAACTTTTCATTGTCTCACTGAGCAAAAAGGACAAGAAGTGACCTGAGAGAGTCGCTTATTATTTTCAAAATAATACTTGGAACAATTGAACCATCAAGAAAGTTATTTGTAGACTTGACCTGGACAGAATAAGATTGTAGAGGGACTCAGTAATTGTGCTCAAAACCAAAAATAAAAAAATGAGGCAATTGAGCCTTATGTTTCAGATGTAAGATCTCTGACACTAAGCATATCTTTGGAGACATTATGGAGCCCTTAATTAAAAACAAGAGCTGCTAGTGGGATTCCAGAGTGCAAGTGAAATTATTGAGAGAAATGGATCCAGCCCTTGAGAGATCAGCCAGCATCACAAAGAGGTCACTGCTGAGCGCTCAGACAAGTATAACACATGTTGCTGGGCCTCCAAAGCTCTCAGGTGAGGAGAGGGTAGGGCCCAGCAATGTCTCTAGAATACAGCAAGCTGGGTATGCTGCACAGAATACCACGCAGAAGGGCTGCTTGCAAAACCTTTACAGCCCAGAAGGGAGGCTCTGGCAATTGCTACAACCTACTGCCCACAGTGGGGACTGTGGGATGTGCCTGTGCTGACTCCCAGCATTTCTCCTAAGCAGCCACCCAGTAGTTCCAGCAAAGGTCTGACATTCCTTACACAGCATACGCTGAACATGTGGGAGACAGGCTTGCCTGAGCAGAGCCATGGAGCATTATCCTCTGGCCAAGCATGACTGCCCACAGCAAACACTGTCAGACAGGGAAAACAGTGAACTGCCAGGGAAATAGCCCAGCCAAATCCCTGGGGAGAAAGAAATCAAACAGTATGGACAAGTCTGTTTGCTCTCAATAACAGGAACTTGTACAGCCACCCCAGCTCATTGCCCCAGCTCCAGAGACCAGCATCCTCAAAGCAGCTTTCTAGGCTTTTGGGAGCCCTAACTGAAAAGGGGTGAGGTTACAGGCTTTGATGTGGAACAAAACAGTGGTGAAAAGTGATTTGAGTCTGAATAATGGAAGAACAGTCTGCCTAAGAGAAATTCCTGGGAGAGAAGTTAAAAAAAGCAGGAGACAGAGCTGGATGTAAGACAGAAGACATTACAGCCATGTTGGACATGACATGCTGCATAAAATAGTGTGTGAGAACAGGTCAGAAGCTTGGTGTGAGTTTCAGGGCTACATCTATAATTGCCAGTTGTGCACAAAGTCCCATGACACAGAGGAAAGCGGGATCATAAGGATATCTGTCTGACCCTTCTGTGCCCTCTCCACTTGCAGTTCAAATGCAGAAAGAATGTGACAATCCTGGGCCCAGAGGGTCAGGGCAGCCTCTTACCAGCCTCTGCACCAGCTTCACATGGATCCTCAATGTCAAAATCACTGCAGTTGTCATTTCTAAAGCATTATAGACACATACAGGGCACAGGAAGCCTGAGAGATTAGAGACTGAAGTTGGAGAAACCCCTGGAGATGTTTGTTGTGTGTGGTGTCATTTATTGTTATAACCCATGGCATCAGCCAGATGTTACAAACCCTGCGGTGTGAAAGAGCCCCAGCACCTGGTGCCACCCTCAAGTCCAAGAGGAGGTTACAAAGGCATTCAGCTTGTAAGATCTTGAACAGACAGGAGACTGATAGTCAAGACCTCCTATCTGAGACTGTACAGCACCTCCCAGACCAGATCACCACAGCCTCAAGAAATCATCTATTTCCCTCAGGAAGGAGCAGCCAGCTGCAGTCACAGCAGAAGGGAACAGCACCAGATGTTACTGGCAGAGCAAAGCCAAAACTGAAAGGTCTCCTAACATGAAACAGCAGAGCTGCAGATGTGTCAGGAGAGAATGGGACATCAGAACAGTGTAGGGTGACCCAGGGTGACTCTCCTGACTTAGGGGGAGGTGAAAAATTAAATAGGTATGTTCAATCATTGCTTGTTTCATGTAAATGTATGCTGTTAGTGTGTGTTGTTTGTGCAATGTAGGTATAAAGAAAAGTAGGATGCTCTGGCACAACACAACTGGACTTATCGCTGTTACACATCTTACCTACTGACACTGCTGAAATCTGGTCCCTGCTGGGCACTCTGCCTGATGGCTGAGAAGTATGTCTACAGTATCATCCACAGCTGTAATGCCTCTGAAAAGAGCTGTTTTCCAATAAGGAGCTTTCTTCATTTTTACAAGCAACGAAGGGCTTTTTAGCTTTTGCTCAGCATGTGTTACCTGACATGCCAGGAGAGTCAGGCAGTGAGGAACTGCTCTGTGTACTGAGCTGAACTTGCTTTCTCATTTTTCCAAGTCTTGGCAGACAGGTAAATATTTTAAAGGTACTTGTTTCTAAATAAAAACATGTAACTTGTTTTGCTGCAGTATATCGATCTAGTGTTCTGTGCTTGTGGGTACAAAGTTACCAGAACCAGTTAAAGTTACTGAGAATTAAAAAGCAAATACATGTTTTTCTATCAGAGACAGAATGGTTGAAGTTAAAAGATTTCAAGGAATTCTGTAGTTTTGAAGCTCGCTGTTTCCTTGCCTGCTTAAATAAAGGGAAGAAGAGCTAAATGATTTCTGCATAAATGAAAATGCACAAACATGGGGAGAGAGACAAAAAGAAAGCTAAGTGGAAGCCATTTCCCAAGCAAGTTACTTGATCTTGGCCAACAGAACCTGCAGTTTCAAGCCATTTAGGCACTTTGGAAAATTTGCTCTGGATACGAAATACACTCAGTGCCTGACAATTCTGTGCTGCAGCCAGCCCTGGGGAAAGAGAGGTCTGTCGGTGGCTGCAGCCAGCACTCTGGGCAGCTTCCAGTCCTCCTCTCCTGCCAACAGTAAATAAAAGCATAATGAAATAAAAACAGCTAATGCTAACGCCCAAAAGCTGATGTTGGAGCGAGGAGCGTGAGAGCGGAGAATCGCAAGCAGCCCAGCCTACTGCAAAGTACTTGCAGCCCAGACAGATCCCGAGCCAGGCTGATTTTCTGTGTATTCAGTAGCTCCGAGAGGGTTCTGTCTTCCATTAATTCATTCAGCCTTCTCTCAGGCTGCACTACTGATCGATGTTTTCTACACAGGCTAAGGAAAAAGAGAATCAATATTCACTTTAGTCATGGCCTCTCCAGTCCTCAGCCATTCCCTTATGTGTCCTCGTGTTAACAACCCCATGTAAGGGAAAGGAATGAGATCAGCAGCTGCCAGCAGGGCTCTGTGCCACAGAAATTTCCAAATAATGTTTTTGCTCTGTCTCTCAGGGACACATAATGCAGCTGATACTCCTGCCCCTTTATTACACCTTTTTCTGTGCATACAATTCATCTGGCAAATATACATCGAAGTAAATGTAGGAAAAAAAATTAAAATTAAAATCTTACAAATGAGCTCAAAAAGCCAAATCAATGTGGTTTGCTGAAGCATTGTGCCATGCACATAGTGTTAGTATTTAGTAATATGCAGAAATTACAGGTGTGACTTACACCTTCTAAGATTTTATGTTAGTTTTTCTCTCTTCAAAATAAAATTCTCTGTGGAGGAAGCATGGCATGAAAGAACTAAGAATTGTGATGACAAGATGGTCAGTATTTTTGACATTTTTCATTCCATATTTTAATTTGACAGAACTAGATAAACACCTTTCCTAAAAGAATGAACCCAAATTGAATTCTGTTGAGTTACTGAGCAAAAGAATGAATTATTTTCTTAATTTCCCTTAGGAAAGAAAGGTCTCTGCATTACTTGTACTTGCCATCAAATTAAAATGGTGTGAAGAAGTACAAGTTACTCAGCAATGAAATGTTGTGGAATAAATGGGAGGCAAATGTTAAAAATCCTCCTCTGAGCAGCCAAGAAGAAAATTCCTTCATGATACATATAGGTGACATAATCTTGGGACAGCCTTTCTGTAGGTGTGGGCCTTCTTTGTATGTCCCTCAGGAGAAATCTGCACATCATTCCTCAAAATGGCTGTAGATTTATGTCTTTGTTTTCTTAGAAACATGAATCTTTGTCTATTCATTGATTTTCAGTCTAGAATTAAACTTTACAACCATGTTGTATGTCCATCCTTACAGGTTTGCCACAGACATTCAAGCTCTTTCTTTAAGTTCCTATTTTCTAGCTGAATTGAAGCATGACTTCTGCAATTAAGAAAAAAAAAAAATAAATTAAAAAACAGCATTGATTTAGACACATCAGGTGTAGAAAACTGTCAGACAGAATCCGATTCCTGGTCTGAGTTGTCTCCTGGTTTTCCTCATGTGGTTCATCAGTCCCTGGGCATCTGTGAAGTCCCTCTAATGCAATCATGAAATGTGATTGAGGAAATGAAGCTCTTGGTCTCTACATAGCAATTGACCTGTGTAAAATATCCTTGAAAACCTATATTTCCATTGAAAGAAGTTGGAGAATCTATAAATTTAAAAAATTACTTACCTAGTATCTAAAACTGCCAGGACTAGATCCTTCAGAGAATGATGCAAGCAGTTTCACATTCTGCAGTTGTAAAGTAATGTGTCAGAAGGGGATATTGTTCCTATGCCAACCTTTCATGAAGCTTGTTTATGTCTTGAAGCACAAGTTTATTTCACTTACTTCTTGAGACAACTTTTATTCTGTGCTGTAAATCAGGATGGCTTATTGGAAAACACTAGATTAGTGGTCAGTTTTCTAAACCCCAGCACAGTATCCGACATTCCTTTCTTCGGCATTATCCTTCAAAAGCTACTAATTCCAGCCCATAGTCATGCATAAGCTGAAAACATTACATAAATATATTGTATCATAGGTACAACAAAGTTATTGTACGTCAAAAGAAGTCAGTATTTGCCCAATTTTCATACTGATATCCCAGCCTTACCTGGTGAGTCAAAGATGGGATGTGTCACGCTGGAAGCCGGCTCCACAGGCACTGGGGAGAAGAGGCTGAGCTGTGACACAGTTTCAAATCCACCTTGGTGGAATTGTAATCAGACATCTGTGTGGAGACCTCAACTACTTCCCTTCTCCTCCTTTGTCTGAGGTCCAGTCACTTTTGGTTTTGATCTTTGTACTGGCATGGTTTCACTGCTGGGTGCGGGATACCTCAGCCTCCTCATGTCCGTAGTCCTGATGACATTATTAGGTGTGCTGGTGAGGCCCAGGCCCAGCCTTTGGAAGGGAAACAAAAATGAAAAGTAAAATAGATTTTGAAGTAGGAAACACTTTTCCCATGTTGAAGAGTCACAACAGTTGCAAAATGAGAAGGCATATTTTTAGTGATTAGCTGCAGTTAATCCTAAGAATGCTTTAGGCTTTGTAATAAGTCAAACACAATATCCTCTCCTCCATGGAGAAGTGAGACGTGGGGTTTCAGAGTGGATGAACAAAAGGATTACAGATGAGGTATTTGCAATAATTCCTCCACAGCGGCTATACATGCTACATAATATTTCCCTCTAAACCAGAAATCTGCCTTGAATAAAAGGAAGAAAATGACATTAGGAGAAAGAAGTCTCATCTACAAACTGCACGTAAATCAGAAGTTCATTAGGGGAGTATGCAGAGAAGCTTTTGGAATGTAATTTTGCTACCAACTGGTTTTCACAAGAGTGAAGTAAGGCTTTCAAAAGCATCATTTCTCTAAGTAATTCAAATTACCTACTCTACCTGATACTATCTCTTCCCACAGAGATTACAAAGCACTTAAATTTCTACCCACTTTGTTACAGAAATCCCCGAGGAAGATTTCAATCCATTTGCAAGCACTGCTGTGAGAAGAAAAGATACTACAAGTTTTCAAAATGACCTCCAGCACATCTAGAGTTAAAAGCTTCTTACAGGTATTGTCTCTGTATCATAAGGTTCTTTATTCAGAAATTTACCACTGGGTCACAAAAAAAATCCACTCTGGACCAAAACTCAGTCTACAAGAGTTCAGCTAAGAAACACTAATTCCTGGAGCGTTGACCCCTTCTTTTTTCTAGCACTGAAATAGATAAGATTTTATGTGTTCTACTGTTTCCAAGCATGAGTGTACTCCTATTACTCAGAAAACTACTGCTATTTTAAAACAAAAAAAGTGCCAGCTTATAGATGAGATTGCTGGCGATGTTTGAAGCATCAGGTGATCTCTGCCATGCTGGTGGCCACAGATGGCTCAGCTGTCATTCAGAAGCACACACACTCTCCTAGGACATCTCCTTGCTTTTATTTAGGCTAACCTCCCTCTAGCACCCACAGGGGTGTGTTATAGCATGGGTCACTAGGGAAGGTATCACTCGGTTTCTGTCCCTCCCACAGCAAGCAACACCCACACTTTGCAGTGTGGAAATGCGCTCTGTACGGACACATAAGCACTGGGACATCTTATCCCTCTCACAGCCCAGAGGGGAATTGAGGAGCGTTGCTGTGTTTTATTCTGACTTGCCATGGAGCTGCACCAGACTCTACTGCTTGCAAAGTTTTCCAGCAAGGCCTCTCCTCAGGGGAGCCGAAAGGGCATTGGATTGGGGCAGGTGAGAGCTGGCCCAGCTTCAATCAAAACCATTTCTAGCAAGGGTTTTGTACTGACATACAAGGGGTTCACTGCATTCTGCTTTGAGTGCTGAAGTTAAATTAAGAAAAAAAAAAAAAGTCCAAATTAAAAAAAAAAAAAAATTGAAAAAGAAGATGCAGATGAGGAAGACTGTGTGGAATAAAAAGGCCCAAAGAATGAAACTTCCCATAAGTGCTACTGCTTGCTGTGCTTTAAAACACACAGGTGAAAATTCAGGTTTCTGTGAACCAGGGGAGCTTTGCCTTCAGCTTTGGTGTACCTGTGCTTCCAGGTAAGATCACTACTTTGCTGTCTACAGGTCCTGCAGCTTGACATGCTTGCACATTTCCTGCAGGTCACAGCAGCTGCATGAGGAACACCTGCCATCCTGAGCAGAGCAGGAGGGAAGGGGCAGCAAGGAAGTTGCCAGGAAATGGTCTAGTGGAAGGTGTCCCACCCATAGAACCAGATGATGTCTCTGGGTGTTGGAATCAGATAATCTTTAAGGTCCCTCCCAACCCAAGCCATTCTGCCATTCTATAAAAATACACCATTGTGGTAAAGTGGGAAAATGTCTGTACTATTGTGTCTGGCTGCTTCCTGTCCTAGCTGCACCTGCCTGCATGAATACACAGCTAAATCAAAGCTAACTATGCAATTGACCCACAGCAGAACAGCAGAAAAGTGACATAATCAGGGTGTCCTGGTGGCTGACAGTCATCTGAGAGAGTAACTTGCTCACCAGCTTCTCTGGGGCTGGCACATAACAGAGTCTCTCAACCCAAAACATGGCCTTTAGAAAGACCTGAGCTTCTGAAAATGGCTGTGTTGTCTCACTAACTGAAGGAATCACAGAGCTAGAAGGGCAAACACACAAATGCCTTAAGATACAGCATCCATTAAAAAAAAAAAAGAAAAAGAAAAAGAAAAAGAAAAAGAAAAAGAAAAAGAAAAAGAAAAAGAAAAAGAAAAAGAAAAAGAAAAAGAAAAAGAAAAAGAAAAAGAAAAAGAAAAAGAAAAAGAAAAAGAGAAAGAGAAAGAGAAAGAGAAAGAAAAAGAAAAAGAAAAAGAAAAAGAGAAAGAAAAAGAAAAAGAAAAAGAAAAAGAAAAAGAAAAAGAAAAAAAGAAAAAGAAAAATAAGAAAGCAAAACAATTTTAGTGTTCTTCCAGCATTGCCTCTTGCATTTACTCCAGCACACTATATTTGGTATGGCTGTTTCTGTAGGAGAGCTACTCTCTGACAAGTCCTCATGTAGAAGCAGCAAACCTCCAGGGAGTTTAAGGCAGCTTTTATTTAGACCCACGCTTTGTTATGATACCAAGTTTAGCCTCAGTCATGCTGCTTACTGAAATCCCAGTGTCTGTGGCTGCTCACAAGCTAAGGGTCCACATTTGTTGGGTTTCACTGACTTCACGGCGTCACTGCCCATGCAAAACTCTGCTCCTGTCAATTCAAATCTTTGACTGTAGCTCAGATGTCTGGTGATGGAGAGAGGGTGGTGGCAAAGACAGCATGCAACGTACACTGATGGGGACAGGAATATTGTGTAGTTGTCAGCACAAAGAAAAGGAGGCTCATCTTGCAGCAGCAATATTTGGGGCAGAAGGCTGGAAGATCAATTTAACTTCTTTGATGTGTCATATCTTGCTAGTAAAGGCTTAAATGCTATTTCTGTCTGCCACATTGATTTTCATTATTGCAGATCCTCTTCCTGAGGTAAAGAATTTCTCTCAGAGAAGTTCCCTAAACTTGTTTAGCTTGCAGTGATGTTATGTTTTAAATTACAACACAAATACCTGCACACATATATGTACCAGCTCATATTTTGTGTAAGAAATCTGTGTATGGTACTGTGTAATTTTAGATTTCCATGACAGCAGATTTAAATTATGTATTTTCTTCAAAAAAAAAAAGAAAAAAGAAAACAGATCATAACTCATCCAACTTGCAAGTACAACACCCTGTCCCCATTGCTCCTCTTCCATTGATCTGGAGATTGGGAGGCATTAAGTGACGCAAGACCTTTGAATCTGCCCCCTCAGAAACTCTGACAGCTCAGAACATCGTACGTTCTCTGTTATTGTTCCAAAATATCAGCTTTCACAATCCAAAACTATTTAAGAAATACTGATTTAATCATATACTCCCCCACATTTTTGTGACTGCCATCACTACTGTGAGTGTTAATATGCCGAGTGGGACAATGGTGGTGTTTTGCTGCTTTAAAGAAAAATTGTTTCGTCATAAATTCCAGGAATGGTTTCTTTCTGCTGTTTTAGCTATTTCGTGTAACAAATAATCTTTGCAATAGGAGAATTTGGCCCATCATGCAGATTTGTGTACTTTATAAGTGGAAAATAATAGCAGACAGTCTTCCCCCTGTGGCAGTGCTTTATTCCAGTCAAGGTTGGTAAAATATTTCTTGAAGAGAAATGCACAAATCAGCCTACATGGGAAACCTGATGATGGTGATGATGATGAGGATGATGATGATGATGACTGCAAGTTTGGGGGGTGACAGTCTGGTGTAGTGGAGTTCCTTCCCTGTAGCACTTGGGATTTGGCTGTTGGGGCTTGGTAGGAGACCAGTGGAAGTTCTTAAGGCTGAGATGAAAACCATGCATGGTGTCACTGCTGGAAGAGCTGTTTGGAGGAGCCTGCATGTTCCCAGAATAGTACAGCTTCTCTAACATAGCTACAAGCAACACATCAAGCTCCAAAGAGATTCTTTTTTTAGGCTCGGATCTAAGGAGGAGGGCGGGGGGAAGACAAACACTAGAAGGCTGACAATGACAAGCAGGCATTCATTTGAAGGAAAGTAATACATCTACTAAACTCTTAAAGACTAACAGCATAAAGCCTTGGCAATCCCATCACTTTCCCCAAATATAATTATGTCAGAATGTTAGTGTTGTTAGAAAAAAAGAAACAGCGCAATGTTTAAGACTAAAACATAGCATTTTGCAGCATAATAATAATAATAATAATAATAATAATAATAATAAATACAATGCTGTCTGGAAATAAAGGAACTTTTTTTGCCTTTTTGTCTGGGCTCAGATGTTGCAGTTGTTTCTGCATAATCATATACATCAGCCATGTGGTAGCACATGGACACCCTGGCAGTGTAAAAAAGCCACTGGATTTTGCAGTAATTGCATTGTAACTTTAAGAAATGTCCTGTACATTTAGCATCCCACAGCTTACTTATTGTTTTGTATATTCACAGGATTTAATGTCCCTTGGCTGCACTTTTGAATGGATCATTTGGGGGTTTATGGTTTTCACTTCTCCTTGAAGAGCTCACCTTCCTGAGCACTCTGATGAATGCAGTTCAGCATGTCTCAGCATTTCCATGGGAAGAAAGGAAAGATGTTGTTGTTAGACCTAGACATTTCGTTTTCTTGAGCATCAGGTACTTCCTTACCCTCTAGACAGCTTGGTTCTCTGGCTTACAGCTCTGGGTTTCCCTGCTGTCTTGGTCGTGTGCAGAAAATACAATCCAATTACTTCTTCCATGTGGAGAAGATGCAGAGAGTCAGCAGTGATAGATAGATCCCTGCAGTGCAGAAAGACCCATCCTCTGCAAAATAATGAACCCTGTAGCAAAAGAAAGAGGAAAAATAAAGGAAAAAATGCTTGGAAAAACACAGCTTACAACTGAAGACCCCACGGCCCTGAGTGAACTGAAGTTGAAAGTTCATGTAGTTTTGAATCATTGCTCGAGGCTCTCTTCAGAGTCAAAGGGATCTCAGTTCATACACTGGTTATACATTTAATCCTGCTTTAGCAGCTGCAATCAAGTCAAAAGTTTTTACTGTTTGGGAGGGTTTTGAGTGAAAGCTAATACCGCGTGTGGCGAGAGAGAGCTTTCTTCAATTCCACAGACCTGAAATAATCAGTACCACAGTGTGAGCTCCACTTCATTCAGAAGCAGTGTAGGCCGAAACTTCTTTCCTAGTCCTGGATATTCTTCACAGAGAAGTGAGCCTGAACATTTCTGAAGCAAACACTGGCATTATCAATCAAAGCAGCACCTGAGCAAGTGATCTGATTTTAAAAGTGATGAAATGGAAACTCTTGGTGCTTTTTCACCTCTGAACATCAGACAGTATGCTCACAGCTTTCTCTGGAGGCATTTGATATTAGCCACTGTTTTGCAATTTTCCCTCTCTTCTGATGTGTTACAAATGTGGGAGCAAAAATCTAGGTACCACTATTGTTTGCAATAAGAAGCAGTAAATAGCCTCTCATCACTCCTTCACCAAGATCACATTAATTATAAATACAGGTAATGGGCTGTCTTTGATGTAATTGCATTCATTATTAGGATTTCTTTGCCTACTGTGGAAATCATTATATTTGGGGATCCTCTAATGGAAGCAGTTCCATTTGGATATGTATAAAATTGTTGATCTTGCAAAACAATGTCAGACTAGATATGGTGATGTTCACTTTCTCTGCTTACCCAGAAGCCTGAACAGATACTATAAATTCAAGGACCCTCTCCACATTGCAGGTGCTAATTCACAAGCAGTAGCACACACTGTGCCCTCAGCAAAGCCTGGGCTGGGTGATGGCAGCCTTGCCCCCACAGAGGAGCATCTGCATCTGCAGAGAGTTTTAGAGAAATCAGAAAGTGGCAGAAGAATAAAACTCTGCAACTGTACCCACCTCTTCCCAGGTGACCTGCACATCAAACTTTTTATTTTATTTTTCCTGGAGAGGCTGGCAAATGCATTTGAAACACATACAAGGATATTTTTCAGCCAGTTTAAGCCATGGAGGGGAAGTTTTGTGGGCTACAGAATAGGTAAATACAGTTTCAAAAACCTTTACCCTCTTTTTGTAGTCTGATGCCTAATGATGGTGAGTTTATTAGCTTTTCCATAAGGCTAATCAGCATAAGCTTATTAGGCATAAGCATCTGTTTCCATCCATGATGGACAAACTGAATTGCCTCCAAGACTGCTGACGTTCTCCTCTTAAAAGTCATTGGCAGCAGCTGAGCAGAATCAAACTATGGTGTGGTGTTTGTGGAAAGAACAACCCACCACACACATATTCTTGCCCAGACAAGTTGCATTGCATAGATCTCATTTCTATAGAAATTCAGACTCTAAAAATATTTTAAATTTGCTCTCTTTATTCTATGCCTTTCATTCAGCTGTGCTTCAATCATTCTCTGCCAGCCTTTCTTGCTCTTGTGAGGCTGGAGAAGTCATAAATATGGCAGGTCCCTTTGAGTGTTAATGCTGGATGCTGTCCATGACTGCTGAGCTGCAATATGTGAGCCAGCGATACCACAAAGAGAGAGTTTATATTCCTTCCCTATTACATATTTTTAGTGTGTAAATCCACAGAGCAGAAGAAATTTATAGCGAAGTGAGTGGTCATGGGGAAAGTAATCTCCATATAAAGCAGCAGCAGATACCTCTTTCTGTCTGGGACTCCTTCTATTGGGAAGTTTCCCGCCAGGCTGAATGAAACCTTCAGCCACTGCTGTTCTTTTTTTGAGCCTCAGTTTTGTGCCTCAGTGACAGGGGCGTCACTGACATTGTTTATCCATTATTCATTTAGCAATGCCTCTGGGAAGCAACTTAATGTCATGTATTTTTCACTTACATGAATTGCAATAAACTGGTTTCTTCTTCAAGCCTGCCTGCACTGGGGAAATTTTCTAAGTTGTTTTACAGCCAGCATAGCTGAAAGTGTTTGGAGGCTGCAGCAAGGGCCTGGTAATAGACAGCATGAGGTGAGTGATAGTTTTTTACCAATGTGGCTTCAGACTGTGGCACTAGCTACACTTACTAAAACACGAACTATTAAGACAACATAACCCAGAAATATTTTAGCTTTGTTGAAATACACATTATCTGTCTCTCTTGGACTGAAAATGCTTCTGTTCCACAAACTGCTCATTCTCCCTTGAAAGGACTGGCTTTCAGTGGGAGATTTGAGTTTTTCTTTGCTTTCCTAGCTTTCTTTAAAGCAGGGTATTTTAAGTCAATATATCACTAACAAGCCCAGATGAGATTTCAGTGCAGCCTTTACTGTCAGAATCAAAATTACATGAAGTACTGCATTTTGAGGCAGTGATATGTGTGCAGTCAAGAGGAGGTAGATTCTGATCTGGCTGGTGAAATGCTTCCAGTCAAATCCCATCACGTGTGGGCCTCTACACAACCAACACATTTACAACTAATGTTATACACTACTATACAATACTAATAAAACCAAGGGGCTGGAAAAAGAAAAAAATATCTCTGGCTGTAGTAGGAAGGATGTGAATAAATCACAGCTGAAAAGATGGAGCAGGAAAGTTTAGTGGATACCCAAGGGATCGAGACAGTAGATCCTTTATTGAAGGAAGGCAGCTGAGGAGAAAGAGGGAATGCTACACAGAAGGGAACACTCATGTCTGTCTTCAGGACATCCTGGTCTTGACATGAGCAGTATATGGGTCATTGGATATGGGGGATTAAAAATTATCCTGTAGTTGCAAAGATACTTTTTCTGAAGAGGTGAAATTTGCTGAATTTCAGCTGAAGTCAGATGCACATGCTTCACTCCTTTAGACAGTCTCCAAAAATAGCAGAAGCAGGGTGGGTTATTAAAGCATGAGTCCAAGTTCTTGTGTGAAAAAACTTCCCTTGGCATGAGAGGCATTTCTACCTCAGGATAAGGATGGCCAGGTTTGGGTAGTGGAGACCATGCCCATGGGGCCACAATCAGTCAGAAGTTCTCTGCCTGTCCTGGGAGCAGCAGAAGCCCCTGCTTTTCCTGCAGCTGCTGTATCCCCCCATGTACTGGGCTTCTGGCATGAGGAGACATGGGCTGTGCTTTGCAATGTGTCAGGAATGAAGACAATGTGTCAGGGAAGAGGAGAAGGAAGGCAGGAAAAACTAGTTGCCTCTTAGCCTTTACCAAGCCATTTTCCTCCCTAGAACTGATCCAGGGCTCCCTGTGAAATCAGAAAGCATGTGGTCTTACAAAGAGGCACTAGGACCATCCCAAAGAAGGGAGAGAGCCTCTTCCAAAGCAGAAATCATCTGTATTTCTCTTTGGTGCTCCCATACCTTCTCAGATTGACTAAGCTCTCATCTCAGGCTACCCCTGAAGTGGGTTTGGCTTCCAAGGTTCCCACAGCTTTGTAGGACAGTAAAAGGCAGCTGGAACTGTTCACTCTGCAAAGGGGCTGGTTGGTCACTTTTCCCTTCCCCTTTTCTTTCCAGGGCCAGCCATGAAGAAGATTCAGTAGTCTGTTGGCAAGGGTACAAACCCAGGTTTAAATTAGCTCATGAGGACCTCTATGTGCACTGAGAGGAACCAGCTTGTTCACACCTCCATGTCTTCTACCTGACCAGGAAAATGCCTGATTCCCAAGCTGGAATTTCTGCCTGGCCGAGTGTCCCAACACAGGACCCTGTGTTGTGACCTGTCTGCTGTGGAATGCCCCTGGAAAGAAGTGCCTATCTCTCTTCTTTGCTCCCCTGTCCCACAGCCAAAGCAGCCTTACACCTCAGGGTCAATGCTCAACATTAGGGTGCCATGCACAGGTCCCCCTTGAGCTCTGCACTGAGTGCAAAGAACACCTCAGGGCACACAGCACTTTTCCATCATTCCAGAATTAGTTTCTCTGCAAAACAGTTTTGCACTTGCAGACATTTGAGGGTGTCATGTCCCTCCTTTTTCTTGCCTCCAAGAAGCTAAGATTCTCACATAAAATTCAAATGAAGATGATTTTGGTGGGATACTCAGTAAAAAAGCATGTTGGATGGTGAAACAAATCCTTTCCATCTCTGAGAAAGAACTGTATGTGGTCCTTAGTGCTACACTGCCCAGATTGCCTGCTGTCTAATGAACCCTTATCTTGATTCTACCAAACATTTGACTATAATCAAGGCTTTACACATTTACTTTAGCCTAGTCTTACTTCAGCTGACAGGGTGAGGTTACTAGTTCTCTTGAGGCATTCCTGGTGGCTCTCCAGGTTGGAAATCATCCTCCATGCAGATCCTCTCAGAACTGGTGGCTTAAACACAACTTCCATGCCCTCCCTCAGTTGGATTACAGGATGGGGGCCAAGGGGTTACTCTGACCACCGTGACAAAGGCAGCAGATCCCTCTCATCCTTGCACAGGTTCAGGTTTGCAGTGAGTTCAGTTCTCCCTGAACTGAAGCTTATGGGCAGCACAATATGGATCATGAACTGTCAAAAACTTCCCTACATTTTCTCCATGGCAGACAGATGTGTAGGTGGGGTTTTTTTTGGTCTCAGAAGCCTGCAGCTTGATGATTCACCAGCACAAGCTTTGATGACTCCTACCCTCCAGTGCTGTTTCCTGCTCTACACTGGCTGCCCAGCTGGCAAGCTGAGGAGAAAGCTGCAAAGACAGGGTATGTGAACCAAAGGAGTCTTGCAATGAACAGAGAAGGCTGTGACTGGTGTGTCATCCACTTTTAATATGACCAGGTGTCCCCTTGGAGAGTGTGTCTCCCATGTATACTGCATGCTAATCAAATGCACATTCCTGTGGCACACAGAAATACAGAAGAGTGAAACCCTTTTGAGGCTCTGTTGGAAGCTGCTTGTCAGT